CCCCAAAACCCCAAAACCCCAAAACCCCATAGATTAAAATGTATGCATATATGAGTCTCATTAATAAAATAATGGAATAAACATAGAGCACACCTAATGTGTTCAATCAGATAATATCTGATGTTCAAAAAGCTGATTATGATAAAATAGTTAATAAGTTTAGGCAATTAGAAGAACAGTTTACAGAGTATCTCGATAATTGTTGAGATGACTATCTTATCAATCCAAATGAAGATAAGAATCAAACCTAGCTCACCTCAAATACTTCCTTTTGTAATGAGTATTTCACATCAAAATACGATTCATTGTCGGACTAAAGAGGATTAAAAGCTATTAAAAAAATACCAAGATCCACATTGCTATGTGAAACACAGCCAATTATAGCCATTCTAAATAATCAAAGTATGAATAAGTATTGCTCTCAGTGTTTTAAAGCAGGGAATGCAAGTGTAATTCTTAGATAATGTTCTTAATGCGAATTCACACACTACTGCTCTTAATAATGCTAAAAAGATCACTGGACTAATCATAAGTTAGAATGTAAAAATAATCTTAAATTTGTTCCAATGTCTCTTAGATTACTGCTATTAATGATCTATATGAAGACAGATAATAAGAACAAAGAGTTTATGGCTAATTTAAAGTTATTTAATGAGTAGATTGCAACTATGATTAGCAATGCGGGAAAGATTCTAAAGAAAAGTGATGATAAAAAGGAAGAAGCGATGAACTATGCTATGGTTACTTTCCTTAAAAATTATTCTCAAGGCTTTGAAGTAAATATGGATAACTTTAAGACTGTAATTCATCTCTATTTTATAAGTATTTGCAATGGCTTTGGAATAGCAGATAATCAAATGCTAAGAATAGGAACAGGTTTATACAGCCCAACAGTAATTTCTTAATTATGTCTTCTAACTTAATCTTTTAGAATCTAATAAATCATTCTTGCGAACCTAGTGCAATGGTGATATTTAATGGAAAAAGGCAATTCATCGTTTCCTGCAGAGATATTGAGCCAGATGAAGAAATTACGATAAGCTATGTTGACAACGGTATTAAAGAAAGATTGATAAGGTCTTAATATTTGATCGATTAGTACTATTTCAACTGCTCCTGCATTAGATGTCTCAAATAAATACAAGAGAATACAGATAAGTCTGAGCTTTAATTGAGCCAAAATCTTTCAGAAGATCTTGAATAATTGAATTTATAAGCTCTGTAACTTGAATAAGAAGGGCAATTCAAAGTAAGCTTGGATATTTTGCTAAGTTTACTTGAGACTGTGAAATAAGGATGCTATATAAGTCAGATTCAAAAAGAGATTTATGAAAGAATCACATATTTAGCTGTGCAATTGAAAGATTATAAAACAGCCAGTGTATTTCAAAATTAATTAGTAGATTTATGCGAGATTCTATATCTATAAAAGGATCATCTACCTCACCCATTAATGGCTATGCATTACTATCAATAGGGAAAGTTAATGTCATAAAGAAAAAAATATGATGAATCAGTTCTGGCATTACAAAAGGCTAGCAGTTTAATTAGTGATTATTACGGTATTAAATCGAAGATTGATGGTAAGATGATTGATGAAAAATTAGTGAATGAGGTTAATGAAAATCTTCTCGCTAACATTCAGCTTCAGCAGAATAAAAAGAATAAAAGCAAAGATAATTAATTATGATATTTTTAAGTAAATTTCTCAATCAAGTATGTGGGGTTTTGGGGTT